TTAACCCCAAATGGTGGTCAGTGTAGCAGCAGCAGCAGCAGCAGCAGCAGCAGCAGCATTAGCGCCCTGCCAATGTGCTAATGTTAGCATTCTACAGCCATCGGCTGCTCCAGGAGCAGCAGTGCACACACATTAATAACCTCTCTCCAACAGTCAGAGCATCCTAATGTTCCAGAACAATCAGTGGTCTCCTCCATGCCGCTGCGTACCTGCTGATCTATGCTGATAATGTTTCTCTAGTGCTCCCGAACACCCACCCAGTCCATGCATGTGAGGTCTCTGGGGGGCCGCGATAACAAGCCGATAGCAACCCACATGTTGGTTAGAGCTGATGCAGCAGTCGGGGAGAGTCAAGAGGAGAACCACATCAACTACAGCCGTCTGAGCATGAGGAGGACGGGGTTATTTAACAGGGTAGATAGGGAGGTGGGTGGGTAGGAATGGTGGTAGTGGGGTAGGTAGGGAGATGGGGTTAGGGATGGTGGTGCAGATCTTCACCACCATGACCATGTGGTGAGATTTTCTCTTCACAGATCCTGTCATGATGGTGGGTATTAAACTCAGCTTTAATCAGCTTCAATGAGGTGGCACTGTGTTGTTTTTTCTTTTTTTCGATTCACAGCACTGTGGAACATGTGATTAACCCTCCATCCACTGACACTGGCCTTGAACCAGTTTGTTTGTTAAAGGTGGTAAACAGTTCAGTCCTGATGCTCAGCTGAAGGCCACACTCTGCATGAACAATATTCCATGCTTGTATTTCCATATTGACATTGAAAGTCAAAGCACGCGCCCACAATCATACACACATACAGGTTTTTATGTTTAGTGAGCACTTAGCATAAACACAACATATTCCCCCACCCCAACTTTAACCATGATAAATATACGTCTTGTATTAATCCCTTCCCTAACACTAATCCTTGCTCCTAATTCTCGAACGTTAGCAGTTCATAGCATATTTTATTATATACAGTATGTAAATATTTTTCAGCGAAATATGACTGTATTGTTTTTCTTTATCAATCAGAAACACACACCAATCTTAAAGAACTGCATACATCATGAATATGAATCAGGTTCAAATAAAATCCACCAAATAAAAATATCTCAGCTGGTGAGTCTTGATTGACGGCTGCGATCGCACGACTGTGCGACAGTGACAGGTTCTTAAAATATCTCTGGGGTTGCAAGAATTATGGGATGTCAAAATGGGGTCACCATCCAAAAAAGGTTGGGAAACACTGAGGTGTAGTATTTTTCCCAAAAACCACGTGTCCAAAGAAGTGAAGATATACAGACACAGACTTGACACGGTCCGTGATGCCTTCAGGAGCGGGTCGTGTGTCCAGGAAGTCCTGATAAATTCAAGACAGATCTCTGTGGTCTGGACATGTTAGAACATTCTGTTTGAGAAGTTGTTGGAAGTGAAGTGTCTGTGCTCTCTGCTGAGACTGCAGAGGTCGGACCACACTGATCTGGACGGTGAGGGGGGGGGGGGGGGGGGCGGCGTCTGTGGTGACGGCCAGCGTTTTAGCTGCATTTGCACAGATGAGGACAGAGAGACTTCCTCTCTGAGGGATGTCATCATCTGAGTGTCAGGAAGATGTGTTGGTTGTCAGAGTGTGTCACCTGATCATATTGATCAATGAGAAGTGAGCAGAG